AATTTCGTTAAGATCATTTTGTAGTCGGAAAATGTTCACTTTGTAACTTCAATGAGAGAACATCTATATTCGTAGCAAAAATGACATAAGATGACATCAATAACAAGAACAACAACAACAACTAATACGCCAAAAAAAATCATCGGCAAAAATTGCATTATCAAACTCAAACGAATGTACAAAACTAATATCGAAAAGTTTGCTCTCTCTCTCTCTCTATCTCTCTCTCTCTCTCCCTCTCGTTCGCTTGCTCGATCTCGCTCTTCAACAGAATTCAAATACAAAGTGTGCTCGAATCGAATTTGCTAACAAACAAAAGTTGGATAAATATGTGCGTCTAACGGGATCAATATAATAGTGTTTTCCAAACTGAAATAGCCACTTTCAACACTACGGCAATATGCAAAGGGCATACACACTTCAAAAGGCATCGGTAGGTGTACAAAGTGAGCACTATTGATAGAAGCAGAATGTTCAACAATCATGTGATAACAATGAAGAAAAATATTTGCATCATCCGGAACAGGAGATGCTACTCAAACACTATTTCGTCTGTGTGCACGCCACAGTTGAGGCATGGCAATCGTTGAATTTCACATTTTTATTATACTTTAATAAAGAATATTATTATCGATGTAATACAACGCACCAGAAGAAATAACAACATCAACATACATAAACTTCAACAAAATTCAATGTAAAATCAATCCCACCTAAAAATTCCATGTATACGTAAAACAAAACACATAAAGAGAAAACTTTTCGCCACTTTGTTTGCCACACCGAAGAAATATTTATTGGAAGCGAACCGTAGTAGAGTTTTATCATCATACGAGCCATACCAAGTCAGGCTAGCGAATCAAGTGAACCGAGCAAACGTATGTGCTATATGAAATGCCGAATAAAATAAAGTGTATAAATTCTGGTAAATAAATCGAAATATTCGTTGTTTTTATGGTTGATACAACAAGTATTGTGTTGTTTATTCTTGCCGTTGTACCAAACCCCAAAATAAAATCATCCAACAGTTTCGTGCTGCTTACGGAAATACTCGGAAAAAAAATTCTGTATAACAACATTGGAATGTATTCCGTCGAGAAGTCGATGCTAGAATTTATGGACATGTTGTTGTATTCACAACGGAGAAAAAAGCTCCAAGCACAATTCTCTCAGCCAACAGCGAGAAACTATACACATGTAAAATATAATAACGAACAAAATAAAATTAGCAAACGCTTTTATGTGATGGAGAACGAGAAGAAAACTCACCAGCACATATACACACACATGCAACATTGATTGGCCATGTTCGTTGCTTATTGTTTACCGGAGTTCGACAGAGATGTGCTCTGAGAATAGCACTCAATATTACATCTAAACAAAAAAGTAAATTTGATTTTGATTTCATTTCACAACTGCATGCAAGTAAATCAAAATCCTTGTCCGTGTTTTTCTTTTTTCTTTTTTCTTTTTTCTTTTTCATTTTTCATTCCGGAGAATAGAACTGCATTTGGTTGAATGGTTCAACTGGAACTTTTGGAGCTGATGGATAGCAGCTGCTACTGCTGCACAAAACATACCGAAAATCACCAATTCCCACAAACTGCCATCGAAAAACGCAATTATGCCCAACACATACAGATAGCACGTAACCGGAATTCAGTAAAATTCATCAAATTATTGGATTTCGAAAAAGTTATTTCATCATGTACTATTTTTGGCTAGAGTCAACAATGCGAACTTGACACTAAATTCAGTGAGTTATAATTTAATGTGATGGCTTTCAAATGAAAACGTTTATCGTTTAAATGACAATTCATTTATCCTTGAAAAGTTCAATCAAAATTCCAAGATTATGTCATGACAGCTGCACATTTGAGTTCGATGGATAGAGAAAAACGAACTCAACTCACTTTTAAAATTGCTTGCTTTGTGTTAAGGCCTTGTGCAGGCAAAATGGAAATTCGAAATTTGAATGGATTTTGTGGAATGTTTTGATTAGTTTTTTTTCCCCCATTTTGGGTTGTATGTCTTTTGAAATGTGTTGCCCCGACTACGCCTTATAAAGGACAAGAAGCAATATGTATTTCAGAAAATTGAACAGCTCTGTTGGAGTTAATCTTGGAAAGAGTTTGTTTTTTTTCTCATTCCATGTCATAAAAGTGAATGCACATATTCAAATTGAACGCGGTAGGGGAAAAGAGTGCATTTTATGTGTACAGCAGTGTTTCCTGTTTTAAGCACAGTCATTTGGGACTAGGATTGATTCATTTGATTTAACCGTTATTTAATTTCCCAATGAAATTTCCATTTTGGTTTGCATGTTTTCGCAATTTGTGTAATTCACGGTAGTTTTGTTTTTGTTCTCGTTGTCTTGCTCATTTTCCTTTGAGATGCTTCATACTGCACGGAGAGTGATTGCGAGTGGGACGCATTTTAACGGTGGACGAAAATTTGAATTGAACTTGAGACCGATGAAAAAATGAAACTGGGTCAGCAGAGAGAGATAGAAAGAAAGAGAAAGAACTCATTTGAGCGGTTGTTGTGTTATTATTTTGTGTGGATGTGTGAAGATAAATCTCGAATCGGATTTCATTTAACCGACACGCTATTTTTAAAATCGCAAGACGCTTTCCGTTGCAAAGTTGCCATTGTTGACATTCCACTTGAAAGCAACAATAAACAACCATTTATCCACACACACACACACACACACATACACTAGAGATATATGCATGTAGGTAGGTTTTACATTTTATTGCCTTTCGTCATTTCTTGTGCGCTTTGCAGCTTTTTCACTTTGTCTTTCCTGCTACCTCGCTCGCATGTCGTTTTCTCTGAATATTCCAACATCGCGCATATGCTTGAGTTGCGAAAACAAAAGCAAACACTCAAACGCAACTACAATAAAGATAATGAAAGACCTAGCTCATACACATGGAAAAATCTACGGAATATATGTATAGATGTAGAACAAATGAAACGACAAAACCCCATTTGCCAAAGCAAATGGAACAAAACCGCAGGATCTTTTCAGCGTTTAAGCATTTGCGTTTTGATGAGTGGTAGCAAAACTCAACAGTTCCAAAAGTGCAATACACAATTGAGACATGCACATTGGACAATGTTAATCGTTTTTCGTGCACCATTCCATTTTGTAAGCACATTCGTCTTGTTCGTTGTTTAACTCGCGCGGTTTAATGTACTCGCTCTATCTCTCTACTTGCGTGTGTCTCGATCGGTAACTCTTTTCTCTAATATTAGCGGAAGCACGACGTGCTCTTCAACTTTTTGAAATAAATATGCTGTTTTCCCACTTTTTAATACACACACACACACACTTAAGATGAAGATGACAGAAGATGAATTCAAAGTGGGTGTAGAAAAACAAGAAAATATGACAACAACATCGGGGTTTGTAACAATGAGTTTTAGCTTTTCGTCAAGTGTTCCGTCGTCGATTTCGCTGAAGAGTAATACCAAAAATTATTGTACACCATAAAACCGTTGGAGCTGCTTTAATTGCCAGTTTATTTACAGTTCTTCATAATTTACAATTTTCGCAATGCCGTCCGCTTGCTTTCTACGTCCGTGCTAATGAATTCTTATCGGTTGTCGAATAAAGAAAAACAATGAATGGCAACGAACAGAAGGAAAAAAAAAATCCAGGCTTTTGTAAATAAAGTGTCGCTTTTAAAATGTAAATTAAGAAACTTTTCCGGATTGAATATTTTATGGGACATGGAGAGCCCAACAAAAGCCATTCACTGGTACTTGTTATAGGTGTTGCTGTTTTTTCTCTGATTCAAGGCGTATTTCCAAATCTGATGCGATGCCATACGATACGATACGATCGGTTCAATGGAAAATTAAAGCCGGAAAATGTGTGTAAATGCTATTCGTTACATGGTCGCAATTTGTATGGCACAGTTGCTTCTGGTGCGTTCGTTTATTCGTTCAATCATTTGTTAAACATTCAGATAAATGTCACGAAAAGTGGCACACACCAGTAAATTTATAATTTTTCTCACTTGGGTGATAAATAGCCTGTGTTTTGTTGTTGTTATATTTGTTTGTGTATCACAGAGCAATATGGGAAAAGACAGACAGGAGGGTGGGTGACTGAGAGAAATGTATTTAAACATACGTTGAACCAACGGCATGTGCTGCGGAAAGAGCGAGAATGAAATGCCGAGTGTGTTTATTTGAAACATTACCGGCAGTCTTAACCTTCTGGGAGTTTCGTTTCCGTTCATAAAAATGGAATTGAGAGTTGAATTGTGTGTGTGTGGCCATATATAGCCATGCAGCTTATGTTACTTAGATCATACCGTTTTACCGTGTACACAGTACACCCGATTGCATGTTATAGTTTTCCCGAATCAGCTACCAATACACATAACTCATACCGTTCAACTGCAAAATTGTCCTTGTTCACACAACGAACGAGAGAAAATGAAAACAACAACACTAACTAAAAACAAAAACTCGCACTAGAGTACACAGTGCGTAATAAATTATTTAGAAACACAACATTCTATCGGTGGAGAAATTAATGAAGAAAATGCTCGAAATTTCATTTTCAAAGCGGTTTGGTTTTGAATGGCTTCAATCACCACTTCATATCACTTGAAAAGTATATTTCAGTTAGTTTCAGTTAAAAGCTCTGCCATTGCCTCAATCACTCAAGGTGGTATAATCCAATTGTCTTCAATCAAATCTTACATACGCGCTTGTGCTCTTCATTTAACATCAAAATCACTTGCGACGAAACACAATCGCACGCTTTTTTATCTCCCTTTCTTCTCATTCTCTCTCGTCTTGCCTTCACCAAATGCAGACGTTCAAAGGAGCAAAATTAGATGTGGAAGAAGAAGACGAAAAAAAGATACAAAAATTATATTTCTCAAGTTCTGTTTTATTAATAGATATTTTGGACGTCAACGACCGTTACCACTGACAACCCCAGTGTATATTTAATTTGATTCATTCCGGTTCCATCCCATTGCAACGCTTTACCGGAAATCATTTCAAATTGTCGCAATGTAGCACATAAATAATTGGTCAATTGTCAAATAAGTGGGCAAATTAGGATATAAAATGATGATTAATTTCGCGTTGTTGTAATCATTTGACGTTATTGGTGGTGGCGGCGATGACGGTGGTGGTGGCCGTACTGGTGTCGTTGTCGTTGATGTTCGGTGGGACTGTCTGTTGCGATAAATATGCAGCCGATTTAATTGTAGCGGGATTTGGCACAGTTTCCTGGGTTAGACGATATATAATCGGCTGTACATCGACGTTCTGTTTTTCCACCATCAAATGTCTCTAGTCAATAAAGAAAGCAGACAAATGAGCTTATTTGGATAGGATGGAACACATTAACACAATGAACACAGACACATACATGCGTTTGCACGAAACAATGTGTGTGTGTGTTTGCTATTTTTGGTTGGCAAAAATGACTTGCTATGGCAAACCTTGTATTTCAGTTGTTTGAGTGCATGAAGCAATCGGCCAAAATGCTTCGGTATGATTGGTGTTTGATGATAGGCTCGACGAAAATTGTCATTGGTTAAGCCATAAATGATGGGATTTATGGCCGAATTTAAGAATAAACAATAGTGTGAAATACAGCTCAACAAATAGAAGCCCCCTTCCAATTGATTCATTACAGCTCGTTTTATTAGTTTTGTTCGCATAAAAATCAGCACCGTAAAGGGTATGTGTAACAAAACGAATATGCCCACAATGATGAACAGCATACGGGCAACTTTTGTCTTATATGAAATGGTTATTGAATTTTCACGCTTCAATACTTTTTGTTCATATCGATCCAGCTGCAAAAAAAAATGAAACAATGGAACTTGGTTTAACTAACGCTTGAATTTTCTTGCGTTCGCCATTTAATTTGGAAAAATCGCACTGAAATTTCCCAGTAAATCATTGTTAATATATATTGTATACCTTCCAAAAGATCGCTGAGTAGCAAATTATCATAACACAGAGCGGACACAGCACCAGAAGCATCAAAATAATATTCCAGTAAAGAGGTAAGACGGTCATATTCTCCATACAAAATTTTTCGACAAAATTCTTCCATTTGCGCTCCTGTTTTGTTGTTGTTGTTGTTTCGTTTTTATCATAGTTGTGGTAGTTGTGGTGGTGTACATGATTCCATGAAACAAGAGACGATTTTTTGAAATTGGACCCCATTGAGCGACGAATCGAAAGGATCTCAGATTATACCTTGTAATTGCGGTAAACCGCAAAGGGAATCGATATGGTTAGTCCCGCCAGCCATGTAAACAGCATGGTCATCTTTGCACCTCGCATTGTTATACGCTTCTCCATTGGCAACACAATGGCTGTTAAACGATCATAGCTAACTACGCACAAATTTAGAACGGCCGTTAGAAGAAACGTCACTAAAATAATACAACATTCGCACATAATAATTTAGATAAAAGGAAAGTTAAAAGGTTCCTAGAAGGAACAATGGCAGACACAACAGAAAAAAAAAACGATAAATGAAAAAAAGGGGGTTTAGGTTTAATAGAACCTTGTAGAAAACCATCCATTTTGCATCCGACCGGACCGAGAATAAAGTTTTGAAAGAAATCACTACAAATGAACACCGCCGGACATAAAAAGATTGTCAACGTATCGGCCGCTATCATGTTAGCCAAAATATAATTAGTTGGTGTGTGCAGCGCACGATTTCGGAAGACGACATTCAGCAACAATAGGTTCCCAATCACGCCGCACAAAATAATCGGTAGTAAAAGTAGAGATTTGTAAACAATTTCGGCATTCGGTTTTGAAAACCATATTTGAAATGGAAAGTCATGTTGAATCCAATCGGGCTCATTTGACTGACAACCAATGCAGAACGAGGGAAACCGAACGGAAGAAAGAAAGATGAATAAAAAGATTTATAATTACTTGAAGCTCAATCAAAAACTTTCGATGATGTTGATTAATTACCGAATTATTTGAGGATGAAGCCATCTTTTTACACTTTAATCCATTCAAATCACACGACCACAGCACATAAACCGAAACAAAAATTTGGTTAACACGATTCGCTCGCTGGCTTGCTCTTGTTTAAATGGACACTTTTCTTTGATGAAAGTTCTTTACGTACATGTGATTGGAACATTCTGGATGCAAAACATTGGGACAATGCCATGATTACCGTTTACTGGTGTGAGAGGTGGTTGTTTGAAAGTCAGATAAGAAACAAACATTTTAGCCACACAAACAATCCACTTCGTATCAACATACCATACGCAAATAAAAAAGAAGGAGTAAAGGGGAAGGAGGTAGAGAGAGAGAGAGAGAGAGAGAGAGAGAGAATGAAAAAAGCATTTGCCTTTTGATAAGTTAATTGAAAATGATGGCTACAATTAATTCTTATCATCAACTCATACCACTTGATGGGTAATAAATTGCCATCGGTGGATTTAATAGCCATTGTGTATAAGTAAAATATGACACATCAACATGGCAGAGGTGGTGCCCAGTGAACTCTCTCTTTCTCTCTCTCTCTCTCTCTCTCTCACTCACTCTCACTGCCACATAAAAGGCGAGCTGATTCGAAACTTTTCATCAAATTATATTTATCGCCACGCTTGGAAAATGTAAACACATAGCAACTGCTTTAATCATTACTCATCGTGCAGTTCAGCTCAGACACACACACACACACACACACACACACACACACACACACGTGCTCATCCAAATCACTCGTCCACTTTCACTGGGCTCGATCTATTTCTCTCTCTCTCTCTCTCTCTCTCTCTCTCTCTCTCTCACTTTTCCTCATCGACACAAACACACTTACACACATGGTGTCCGTATAAAAAGTTTGCCTTCTATCTAATGCGTTCTCTAATGCGACTACGATGGAGATATCGAGAAAAATATCGATTGGACAAAATAGCCGGCACCGTCGACAGTAGCGTCTAAAAATTGCGATTTATATTGAACTTGAAACAGTAATACATTTTATATATTTTTATACATTTGTTGTATTTAAAGGCTGACATCGGTGACGCTGCTGCCGTCGACGCCGAACATCAGAGCTTTCCATTCTCTACCACGTACTCTCTTTCTTCGTCTCTGTAGCATTTCTCTCACAATACACATGAGATCAATTTACTTTGCTTCGGAAAACTTTGTTATTTTTTTATTATTGGTTTTTTGATGCGTTGGCCAAGTTCAGTGCGACGCAACCGAGCCATCGATCTCATATCGTGGACATATTGTTTTTTTTTTGTATTTGGACCCAGCCAGAATGTGAATCACTTTCCACTGCTGTCAATTTAACGATGGCAAAACAGAGCAAAATAACAACAAAAAAAAAAACAGAAAAAACGCCAGTTTCAAAAAGTGTACATTTTCACTGTGAGCATATCCTTTCGAGGAAGATTTATTCGAATTTCGTTACTTGGAAAATTTTCACATCCACAACATAAACACTTGACTCAAAAGTAAACAATCTAACTAAAGAAACGGGAAGTAGCAGACGAAATAAGGCGAATTAAAATTGATGTCAATTCCATTACCTAATATCGTCGTGTGTGTATGTGTGTGTGTGAAGGAGCCGAACAAATTGCAATGGGATCAGTGACAATACGTCATCAATTGACCTTTGAATCAACATATATACATATTTACCGTTGACATCCTTTGAAAAACAGCAAAAAAAAAAATTTGAAACTCCATCATGCACGGGGTGCGAAAATAAAACGGAACAGCAAATGCTTGAGCAACACTTCGTCTTGCATGACGATTGTTGACGGTTACTATGTGCATATATGAAAGATCGCAAACAGACGATGAGTAAATGATTCGGTGCAAATAAACGAGTGCATAAAACGCGCACAACGAGAAAGTCAAGTCGGGTGAGAGAGTATGGTACTGAGGAAAAAAAAATAAACTCGCAGAAAATTGACACGTGTGAGTTTTTCCTATAGAAAATGAAAACAGAAAAAAGAATAAATCTAGAAAAAAAATAGCACTGACTGCGACCAGAGCACGAGACGAAGTAGCGAGAGTACGGATACACTTTTGTTTCTGTAGAAGATAGAAAAAACAATGATAAGAAAAAAAAGGCTGTGAGAAAAACGCTGCAAAACAAGCAACATTGGAACAGTGTGGCAGTGACGACGAAAAGAACAACAATAAGACCACCACCACCGCTACCACCATCGGTCCGAGCGAGAAAAAAATGGTTTTTCATATTTGTGTTATTTGGCTTGAATGATATAAATGAATAATTTTTCTATCGTCGCATCTCTCTCATATGGTTTGCTGCAAAAATGATCGCAAGCGAGAGAAAAAACGTGATTGTGTATTCACAGCTCAAAGGAGCAGGAGGAGAAAAAGGGAGAAAAATTAAATTGTTGGCCCTTTTTTTGAAGCTCGTTTCATCGTTATTTGTTTCCACTTCTCTTGAGCCACAGAGTATTTCGTCGCGGTCACATCGTCTACGCTGCAGTTCGTCATCATCATGTGGCTGATAACATTTGCCACGTTGTTCAAGTTCGGACGCGCATTGCGTTCAGATTTTTCCTCCCTTCCACACGGCTTTCACTCACTTTCCGTTATTCTTCTTTTGTTTTTCAAATATGTACCATGACGCCATAGCCCAAACGGGAAGTTCGCCGACGTTGGAAATATGGCAGTGGCACAAATACAAATAACGAAAGCAAAAAAAGTGTTTTTATTTGTGTTTCAGCAACGAACACAATAGCAAAGAAAAACAAAAAACAAAAAAACTTATCGATGAACACATTAAAGTCGAAAAAAAAAATTACAATAAAGAAAAGGGCTATTCTTTTATTCAACGCGTTCAATTTACACGCATACATTACACATCCATTATTATACGTGCTGCTTCCACTATTCCATCATTTTAGTGTAGAAATTGTTTCGAACGGCACGCGAAATGAAATGAATAAGATTTATTTTTTCTCTCTCTCTCTCTCTCTCTCGTTTACTCTTTTGCTGCTTGGCTCCGCTTCTGTGACGCGCCACTGGCACCGCGCAGCACATGGCCGGATCTTCACTCTCGTTACATGTTCAATTATAAAAATGTGAAATGTATCAAGTCATTAACATGCACATCTTCCACACAGCGTCTGCATTTCGTTTTGCGCTCATTTCACTGGAATATTTGAATTGTTATTCAACGGAACTTTTAATGCGGAAGGGGAGCATAATTTTTTAAAGCTTTCGCATAATTTTTTCTTGCCTTCTTGCAACGTGTGCTGTTTATATGAACGATGAATTTTTTCTGCCATTTATTTCTTGTGTACTTTGTTTGTTGTTGAATTTTCTTTACTTTTTTTCGGGAAACTTGTTTTTCCCTTCTAGATGATGGTGTATGTGTGTGTGTGTGTGTGTGTGTGTGTCGGCTCTTTGTGATTTTCGAAGTTAGCTTCGCTGGTGTTACCTTTTATTTCGATTTGGCTTTGGGCAATGCTTACCGTGAGATGCTTCGCATTTGCTGTAATAATAGATATTGCCTTGACGAACATTAATAAATACCCGTGCAGCAGTATAAAGCATTGGTGTGGCGTGTAGAGCCTTAGATTTCTTTGGCTTAAACAGACTTCTTTCTGCTCTCTTTTTTTACTTTTCTTTTTTATCTTCATCACTGCATAAAAATCAAGTGAATGTGAGAGAGAGAGAGAGAGAGAGAGAGAGAGAGAGAGAGAGAGAGAGAGAGAGTGAGTGAGAGTGAAACAGTTTTGCCAAGTCAGGTAAAAATTCCGTTGTTTGACTTTTAACCACACTTCTTCTCTGATGGCACACAAATGGCTATAAGGAAACAGTTTGGCGCTGAACGAAGAAGAAGAACAAAAATAAAAAGAAACGTAGACACGAGAAAGAGATCTTTGAAAAGAATTGGCACGCGCAAGCTACCAGGATTTATGTGTATTTTCGTGAGTTTGTCGTGTTTCGTTATTCGTTTCTTAACGATTGTAAATTTAATATTCGAAAATCCAAAGTTTGAATGGATGGAATGATGATGATGGTGATGGTAGCAGCGACAGCGATGGTGGAGGCAATGCATAGCGATAAAAAAAAAAATTTCGGTTTCAATTTCGCCGTTCGTCGCTTGAATAAGTCATATTCCATTATTTCACACCAAGTACGTCGGCACATGCACAACATACAGAAGAACGCGTAAGTAGACGCGACCAAGTAATCACACTGTTGCAATTTCTCAGCTCTCTCTCTTTGTTATATCGCTGTGGTGTTGACGATGCTATCGATGGATATTATTCAAATTACAGGAATAGTTGACTGTGTTTCTTCTGGCATGTTGTTGTTTGAATTTTGCGGAATATATCAATTAGAGAGAGAGAGAGAGAGAGAGAGAGAGTGGGTATATTTCATTGGATGGCATCAAATGCGAAACAGTGCTTGAATTGAATTACGTCTGAGCACGTTTTGCTGTTCACTATTTATATTCCACAACAGCTGATAGCATTAACCATTTCACATTTTAGCGAAATATAGTAAATATAAATTTTAGCACGAAAAGACACTTGCTCTACTGGCTGATGGTGGTTCTATTGCTGCCTACGCGACTGAATGTACATATATGTGTGCCTGTTTGTTAGCGTGAGTGTTGAAATACTTAGTACATTAACAGCACATAATCATTTTATCTATTTAAGATGGAATTAACTTGATGTTTCAGCTGCAAATTAAATAGCAATTTTTATTTAGGCAACAACATGCGATGAACGCTGACGCAAATGATGGTATTTACAATGCCAAAAATGATGCATGCAATCCGTTACACGATGATTTTATCTGCAGGCAAGAGTGTGTTCATTCTGCCAAATATCAAAAGCTTTAATATTCTGTTACAGTTCAGTGTGTGTGTGTGTGTTTTTGTACTCCTTTTTACCGTTGGATTTGTTTTCAGGGATATTGCACTCGTTTCGAGATGAGGCCCTCTTCATGAGGGAAGTAAAAGATTGTGCAGGAACGTAGCCTATTCAAACACAGCGTAAATTGGCGTTATAGTAAAAAAAAAAATAGGACGATTCAAAGTCAAATAAAGTCGATTCCATTTGATTATCATGTAACTCGTTACAGACAGTCGGACGGACGTGAGAAAAGCCATAAATTGCGTTAGAAAGCCAACCCTTGAGGAACAAAAAACGATTTATTCTTTTTTTTTCATTCTTCGTTATGCTGTTATTTAATTACCCGTTTTTGCGACCTTGGATGCCAGAAAAAACGGGTTTCGCTTTTCATCGTGCTCCGTTTGTCGAACACATGGGCATTTTATTGAGATGTATTGTTTTTTTTACTTGAGATATTTCATTTCGTTGGTAAGATTGAGAGAGAACAGCAAAGTTAGCAGCAAATAAATGACAAAACAACCGAAAAAATCAACACCCAATGAATAACAAAACTCAACAGCATGGAAAATACCAATACAACACATTGATTTTGATGGGTCTACGCTTGTTTTTTTCCCTTCATTTCTTCTTCATCGTCGCTTTTTTTCGTTTTGTCTTTTTGAAGCCGACGGAAACAGATCGAATATCCTTTGTAAATTTTTCTCGCCTTTTCCCCAATCCTAAACCCAATGCACGCCATGGTGTGACACATTTTCACTTTTCATAAGCGTCCACTGAGAAAAACAATGAAATGAATAATTCATTACATCAACAAAACTGATGCATTAAGCAGTATTTGACCTAGCTGTTCACACACACTCGATATATTATTTCATGAAAACGCGTTATTTCTTTCACTTCGGATAAACGGTACACTTGGAACTCGGTTTATGTGCTCTTCATCGTGATTGCCCTTTTTAGCACTACATGAAATGTAGAGCTACTAATCTGCTTATTTTTTTTTTCTTAATACTTTTTGAGTGAGGAAACAAATTATGGTGAATTTGAATTTTATGCTCATATTTTTTATTTAATTTAAAACAGGTGCACTAACGATAAATAAGTGCACAATATCTCGAAGCGCCAATCAAATTTTTATTATCAAATGTTGTTTAAAAATTACATTATTTTTTCGCATAATATTTTCTGAGTCTTGGACAGAATTGAAGTGATTTTAGATTCTAAGCTCATATTATTTATTTAATTTAAACCAGTATATTTCAAAATAGAAATGAAACCAAGGTCTTGTCATTCATTTTGCAAATAAATACACCACAGGCCATAAGTTTGGATACCCCTATGAATGAATTTGGCCCAAAATTTTTAAATTTCAAACCGCTTGTCCGATTTCAACATGCTATACGTCGTTGGAAAGGTCTTGGAGAGTACGTATCATTTTTGGTATTAAACATCAAAATCGGCCAGCTTTTGGCCAAGATATGGCTGATTGAAGATTTCGGCCAAAAATTACAAACGGCCATATCTTGGCCAAACGCCGGCCGATTTTGATGTTAAATACCACAAATCACATCTACTTTTCAAGACCTTTCAAATGGAGTATATTTCTTTTTAATCCGATGGCCCGTTTAAGACTTCGATTTTGGCTCCCACAGCTCAAAGGCCAAAAGATGGCCATAGGCCGGCCAAATGTTATCTTCCAAATCATCCATTTGGTCAGAATTTCGATATATTTTCATATCCAATACTAAATTTCAAGTGAAAATGTTCAAAAAACGTAGAAACAAACGTTTCATAGGGATATCCAAACTTATGGCCTGTGGTGTATATTACTTCAAAGTTACTTCGATGAAATACATTTTATGTAGTGCGCCCAAAAACAGTTTGTTGTGAAACAACAAAATAGATTAAGTAACTAAAAACACAAGAACGCAGAGCGGAGCAAAGCGAAGCTCTGCGGTCTTGTTTTCTCCTCTCTCTCTTTCTCTCTCTCTCTCGCTCTCCAATGAGGTGGCATTTGATATCATTTTGATATCCATAAATATGATGAGGCGATAAATGCTGCCTCATAATCAACGCCGACGGGGGGGAAAACTATATAAAAAGTCAAAAATCTTCTCTTCTCCACTTCTCTCTGAGGAGCGAGACTGAATTCAATCGACATGAATTCCGATGCTAAATTTGATATTGAACCGATTCAACTGACTAAACTAAAATCGGACTAAAAATAGGTACTAGTACTTACTGTCGTTCCTTGCGCTGTTGTCGCTTCTTCTTGAACGCCTTTTTTACGCGTAAGATCAGGAATGCAGCACGATCAATGGACAATGATGGTGGTTTTTTCTCGTCGCCATTTTTTTCCGCTTTCTCATTCTTATCACCTTTTTCATACGTTTTCTTCGTTGTGCCATCGTTCATAGTTTGACCCTCTAGGGTCTGACGAACACAAGCGCCAAGTGAATTCACCTTTACTCTTACTCAATTAATAATGACTATTTTCTCGTTGTTCTGTTTTCTAATTTCTCTTCCTCTCCCTTTTTCTCAACGCATGCTCCAATAACATATATCAATAACACACTTTGTATTGTGATAAAAAATAAAAGGAACTTTGAAATTTACACACGAAATACGCTTCGATTATTTTTATTGGGTGTTTAAATCAAACACTACATAAATTCCGACACCAGATTGAATAACGTAAACATTCACGATCTGTCTTTGGTGTATTGCGTGTTCCAAAATGTCATTCGAATAATCTGTCAATCGGAACGAGACAAAAAATATTCGATTTATTCAACTGATAAGGAGAAAAAATGAACAAAATTATTTGATTTATTTGTGGGATAGAATTCTAATGGATGGAACTTGAATGGAAATGATGGTGAATTGTGTTCTCTTTTTTATCGTCATTTGGATTATAATTTTCGATTTGGTCGTTCATTTTTTGGTGATTCAATTTAATTGAATGGGATCAATAGAACTGCCTTAATTAATTCCGCTATTTTTTTTTTTTTTTTTTTTTTGTATGAGCGCATGTGAGTGAGTTTTTGGCCACTTCATTTGTATTAACCACCGAAATAAATTGAATGCGGTATTATCATTTAGCTCTTCTGAATGGTGAAAAAAAAAGTTTTTACACGATCGCATCCATTTAGTACATGGCTTGAACATAATTGTATATGTACCGAATAAATAGAATACCTTTGCGGGAAACATTAGCGTGAGCATAAAAAGCACATCCAAAAACCGTTCATCTAATCCATATAAAAAGTTCCGGTTGATGTGCCATACAAAAACTTTACGATTCAATCCATATCATCACAACGCATAATGTGTTCATCATTCGCTTAGGAAACGGGTGTTTGTACCATGTAAGCAATCATATAATTGTAAACCTTTAGGGCAATCATCAAAGTTATTTACACTAGATATTTGCCTATGCGATGCCATATTCTACAATGTAAATTGAAGCGTTGAGATACTGAATGTGATCGATAAAGTGCCATCGCAAAGTGCGATATGCGAACTTTTTCATTTGAAAAATAGAATTTAAGTGTAAGTGGGCCTAAGTGTAAAGTGAAATCATTCTTTTTAAATTGCGTCAGGTGCCATATATTCTTAGCATCTTCCCCCTTTTTATCTGCCATATATATAATACTGGATCTTCAGTTTCGACGATGACTTTATTTTATGGGTTTCGTTTAAATTCAGCGTTTCATTTGCTGTATTCGCAATCAGATCATGTTGCTCATGTACAGCGATAGTATCATAGACTCAAAGCCGAAAAATCTACACGTATACTGTGCGCGTTGATTCAACGGTGCAGATAAGAAAATCCAACCGAATATCATAAACTCATATATATAGATATCGTTTAAGAAACACACTGAAAGAATGTATGCATACGCAAATCGAATTATATTCGCGTGCCTAATCGGGATCGTGCGCATTGTTGGTGAATGGCATGCATTTTAACGGACAAAAGAGAAAGAAAAGGAACCAAGAAACAATGGCCGTACTCATGATTGAAATGGGACAATGTGTGTGTGTGTGTGTGTGTGTGTATGTATTGGAATTGGCATTGACTTCAGTCGTCTGCTCTTTGTTCTGTTTGGCTGGCCGCATATAATCTCATCGCATCGGATTACTTCGATCGCCGGAATCACAAAAAGCGATTTTAGCGAAATCCGAAGAGGGAGTACCTATCAGCATAATAATGTTCCGTTGAAAGCTCTACCGCTTTCTTTCGCGGTGAAAACGACGACGGCAACAGCAAAGAACGCCAAAATCACAAAGAGTTAAACACGCACGGCGGTGAAAAAGGCGGCCAAAATAACAGTGAAGAAAGAAAATATTTTACTGCTATTTACATTCATATATGACAATTTTTTGTATAAATACAAACACAAACTCGTAAATTGGCATTACGTAGACAAGATACATCGCTTTGCTAGTGTAACGATGATTGTGCATTGTTTGCCTATGCCTACAAGTGTGCGACAGTCATTCGCCCTCGCCCTCTCCCTCTCTCTCTATGCTTTTTTTTTACAGAGTCTTTACTTCGTTTGTCACGCATATTTGAGCATCTAAAGCTCTACGTTTACAGAAACAAGCACTGAGCCCATTTGCAAATTTTGCTACTGCTTTTTTCCCTTTCGTTTGACATCGCGCACATGCTTTAATTTTTCTATTTGAGAAAATACGACAGATGTGTATGTGATTTCGATCTTTTTTTACAAAAGTTGATTGTTTCCCCTTCTTCAGTGGGAATTCCACACCAGAATCCAGCATTGTTTGCTTGTGAAAATTCTGTGTGTGTGTTTGTGTGAGTTTTAGTCTGTGCTTGTGTGTGCTTTTGTTTTTCTTCTGCTAGATCGAACAATCAGATTTTAGCTTCAGTAGGAATAAATCCAAAAAAGGAGTAGTAGTAAAATTGCCTGTGATGTGTTGGACGATGTGCTATCAGTAATATCTGAACACATATGAACTTTTTATGGAAATTATTTTTTTTTTCCACATGAAAAACATTATCTCATCGATTTGTGTATCGCTTTCGCATCTTATCTCGCTCATTTTGACCAAATAGTATTTGGCCATACACTAGATGTCATTTAACGAATCGAAGAGAGAGCGAGAGTTTGAGGCAGAGACTGATTTTCAATGCGTAGGCTACCTTTTTTTTATTGTCTCTCATTCATTTGAATTGCAAACGAAAAGTTGGAAAGGCTTTTGGAAAATAAATCATTTAAAAGAATTGAGACTTCAAAATCAGTTGGCTTTCGGCCGGAACACATTTTGGTCGCCTATAAATCTATGGTTTAAAATTGTCCGAATGTCTGATAAAACGTTTGCTTAAAAACAAATGGCACGAATAAAAGAAACCTTTTAAATACATTGAATAAGCATTCGGCTTGAATCCAATCGGAAAAGAATGCTAATTTTCTTTCATTTCACAAAAGGATCAGGCGTGGTGAACCACGTTGACCATTCTATCTCTGTGATCCACACTGTGTGCGTTAAAAAGTTGAAGTTACCCCATCGTTTCTACTTTATTTGCCTATAAATCACAATGACAATCATTTTTGCTTTTAATTCAATTATTTTCTTCTGTTCACCGTGCCAAAACTACGACAACAGCCTTATGCTTCGGGCGGATAAACTCAAAATCTCCCCCATCATATCTGACAAAAAAAAAATAAGATCCGTTTGAAAAATGTTCATTATTGAACGAGTTAATTGGGTGTATCTTTTTGGGGATTAACTATAACGGGCAGGATTTTTATCTTCATCCAATCCAATTGATTCATTCAGACGATACAAACTATGTTTTTGTCCGCCAATTTTCCAGATCGAAAAAAAGTATGAGTATGAGTGTGTATCAAACCAGCAAGCAGCTAAATGAAAATGAATGTGTATAGTCATTCAGTCAGTCAGTCGGGCATTAAGCTCTTATCCATTCGAAATGTTTCGTTGAAGTCTTATTCTGGGAGTTGCTCTTAAATCAATATATAATTAAATTTGGTTGTTGTTTTTCTCTTCTTCTAAAGAGCAATTCATTTGGAGCGCTTGCCGATAAAAGCCATTGGTGAAAACACACACATACACATACATACCAAAATTAAATAAATACGAAATCATTGCTATTAATATCTGTGTATGTTGATGAATGGGGCCGATGGTTTTTCAACAAATCAATTGCAATGTTTGTCCACCTTCTACTTGTGAATTGGTTTTTGGGCTTCTATTTTTCTCACTCAATCATGTTGTCGATGCAAGTTCACAGGCTTATGGCCATTTTCTCTGTGTAGCAAAGCAATCGGAGAAAAACACAAACAACATACCAATAGCCAATTGTCAACAAATTGATTTTATTATTTGATTTTCTTTTCGATCTCATCACCGACACCGCTATCCCACTCACCTCAATTTTTCGACGAATTGCCTGCGCTTTTTTTCACCTTCCTCTCACCTATTTCATGTGAATTTGATTGAAAATTCATTTTATTCGGTGACACGTAAGCACTTTTAATTTCAGGCCGGTGAAAGAGAACACCGCTTATCGCATTGGATAAAATACGCACGTCCAGAAAGTTGCACAAGGGCACACGGACATCGTCAATTCATGCATTTATGATCTGTCCATCCGATTCTATCCGTATAGGCACGATGTGTTTTTTCTCTTGTTTGCTTTAATTAAGTCGTAATGCACATCGATCGTGTCAGGTTTTACCTTATCTATTGAGATGTCAAGTATGTGATTGGGAACCATGTCCAAAAGGAGACATTGAAATAATATGAAATAACGCCATCCGATAAGCAAGCTCGATTGATCGCACAACTCAAGATGCTGTCGCTTGTATTTGTAGTCAATTTCACTGCCATTGACTAATTTCAAATAATTTATTCAGGTTGATTCGTATTTTGTCGACTAGTTTTACTTTTAAATCTTCAGAGATTTGGTGCTACATAGTGACTAGACGTTGCAAAAAAAAGGGGATAGAAAAAAATGCATAAAAACTCCAATATATAATCGTTCGTTTTGACGAAGATCTCAAAATTGAATCATCCGGATTACAGAAGCACAGCAGTGTTACGATAGCATGTATAATGCTATAATGGTGAATCAGTCATTTATTTAACTTTTTAATTGTCGATTGCTCTTTGGAGAATGAGAGTGTGAGTGCTCACACCCACTTATCTAATGCAAACGACCAAGCTTTATATCACACCAGCCTATTGGACGAATGCAGGAAAGAGAACGAACGCCTACACTTTCATTCGAATTTACACGAGCTTCATTGCGCGCTCAATCGCTCATTTGCTCGCTCGCTTGCAAACAACACACACACTCACACACCAGAGTGAAAACGAACAGCAGAATACCATCAGGCCGAAGACCAGACACAGACAAGGAAACGCACGTGCATCCAAATGTTTTAGATTTTAATCCACAATTTAACTGCATGAGAATCGTGTGCTGTGCCTTTCTCTCCCACTCACTCTCGATCTCGCTCTCTTTTCATTCGGATTCAGCTGTCGATTCGCGGAAGCAGCTATTTGCTGTTGCAAAAAGCAATGCGTGGCATATGTGTAATGTGAGAATGAAAGTGTTCTGTCTATGCTCTCGGATATTTATTTATACTTGACGGTGTAAAGGCTGTTTTCTATCTGTTTTGTTTCCGTTTCTCAGTTTATTTTCCAACAATTCGCTTGTGTTTGTATATTTCTCTATTTTGAGAACGAAACGCAAAGTGTGTGCGTGTGTGCTGTTGCTTCCAAACACACACACACACACACACACACACACACACACACACACACATGCACACATAACCAGACTCTCTCATTGCCACATCGAAATAAAGAGTGCTTTATATTCGCAACGATAGCATCTAAACCACTTTATTTACCGACAAACTCAAACGGATTAATGTACCAAATTGAATTGAAAATCTGCATAGTGCAGATAGCACAAGCAGCAACAACAGCAACAGCAGCCCGTTGAGTTTTTACCCGCACGAAACGTGATTAAACTAATAAAACGAATGCGCCGAAACGAAAGAAACCATACTTAAAGCCAAAAAATTTTAAACTCCACAAAACAGCAGTCGCTTCGTTTACTTTTTTTTTGCTCGCACTTTTCTATTTTTAACATGTATCCAACCTATGATGGTATTAAGTCACAAGAGCAACATCAACTTTTTGTTTGCCCCGTAAATAACCGCATGTGAAAAGGGAAAACTGTAGCAGCGAAAGCTTGCCCCGCTATCTCTGTTCTTACATTATCTTGATATTCTCCCAATCATTCTTGGCACACAACTGAGTTTCAACTTGCAAAAGTTGAAATAAAGTTAATATTTTTTTTATCATCCAAACTGGATGGAACATTCAAGACATGCAAAGGCTGCAAACGACATTTATATATGATGCTAAAATGAAAATGAATCATCTTTGAGCGAGGAGGGGAGAGCGAAAAATTCGTTGGAATTTCGTAAGTATTGAAGCTGGCAATCGAATTTCTCTGATCAAATGGAGCAATTGGAATTATTGAAAAGTTTTTCTACGACGTTCAGTGAAAATCATCGCGATCGTGATGTATTGCAAAGCTCTTTTTGGACACAAAAAAAGAAGAAAGACAAAATGCAGAGAATGAAAAACGACGTTTTTACGTCAGCTGAACACATGTTCAGACCGACAGAGTGGCTGTGTCTGTGCATTTTTTCTTGTAAATGTTAAGTACATCATTGTGATGTTGCTTGTGCTGGATTTTTTTTCTTTAATATTTCCAACTCCAATTAGGTAGTCAAAATCGTCGTAGCATAACGCGTACTATGACGGAAGTTCGTAGCGTTCATTGCATTTATAATGATATTTGGCGACGTTTTTCATTCGAGAAAAAATCGAAGCATGAATGATACGCACACACATACACATACCCACACCCACACTGGTGGGCGCCTGTACAATAATATGCAGAGAGAGAGAGGCGAGAACTAAAACGATAAACGTAAACAATGTGTTGACTCGCCTTTACATTGAACAGTTTATTTTGAATAATAAAAAATTATATATCCAGCCTAAAGAATACTATTCTAATACGAACGTTTATCGATTATCAATATGTGTTTTTGTCAACAGGCAAAGGAAGCTGTAAAGTTGGGAATAATTTTTTTGCTGTTGTTGTTGTTCAGGGTGAATGTGCGTATATAATATATTGTCGCTTACTGGATTGGCCGAGTTCAAGTTGATCCAAAGCATACAGCATTCGATCGAATATTTTCACACTTGTGAATCAGTTGAAGTGCTGCCTGCTGTAAAGCCTGTTTTGTCTATTTTTAATTTTCATGTCAAGTCTCCTGAATTTTACCTGCCATCCACATGCGTAGCATACGGAATACAATGCCCCGATAAATCGAAAACTTTAATTAGAAAAATGTGTTTGTTTTGTGTTTTCACATAAGCGCACGCACCTCATTAAATTACCGTTTTATCGAGAATTTTAGTGCAAATTTTGTCAGCGGTTGAATTACAAATTATGATCGTTATATCATGGTTGTGCAAAAATGTGGAAATATTGACATTGTATTTCGATTTAAATGGTACAAAAATTTACGTCTGCACATCTTGAAGAGACATAAACTGAGTGGGATTTAGATTGGTCCATTTGGCATTCAATCATTTAAATTTTACGAATGGGATAATTAAGGGTTTCTTTTTCAATTCGTCAAAAAATATGTCTAAATACCTAAAATTTCATCCTTTCTTTAAATTTACCCATTGTCTGCACCCCATATCAACGGAAATGTTTTTTTTTTAAATGCCAAACCAGTTCGACAACAAATATCAGCATTAAAAGCTTAATTTACATTATTTTACTTGGTATTCTGACTAATCCAATTTGGGGTTCGTTATTGTCATTTTTTTTTTACTCTTCTCAACTGATTAATTCAAATTAAATACTAACAATGATGAACTACGAACAATTTAATGCTATTGGCATTTAATTTGGAAGTCAGTAGGCGAAAAAAAATCCAATTCACATTTATTTTAATGAGAAATTAACTTAATTAGTGCTCAAACCAACTCACACCCACAGTCATATGCAAAAAAAGGGAGTTTCAGCGGTTTGGCTTTTTTTAAACTGCGACCAAAAATCCATTTCACGATATAAAAAAATGAAGCATAAATAAACAAATAAAATTTCATTGAAATTTTATGTCAATAAATCGGTATTGGTGGTGAACCAATTCGACTAGCTATTGGAAAAATGCAACAATCAAAATCCGTCCATTTGAATTTAATGCGCCATTTAAACGTAATAAATGGTTTGAAAAATGTTAAATTGAAATTAAAAACATTTAATGTTAATAGGTGTTTATGAGCCCGTTTGTTTTCAAATAACTGGCCATATTTATAAACATTTCATGCGAAAAAGGAAAACAAAGTTCTGTTTATTTTTTTTTCTCTTTCTCTCTCTCTCTCTCTCTCTCTCTCTCCCTCTCTTTCTCTCCATCGAACGAAACATATTTCAACTGTTATTTAAAACAAACAAAAACTAATTGGAAACACTATAATAAAAAAGCACCTTTTGTTCAAATCATCACCAATTTACAACGAACCAATAAATAAAATCGGTTGAAAGAAAGAATTTGTTTATTTCATTTGAAACTGATTCGAATTTGAAATTCGGAGGACTTTTTTCCGTTGTGAAAATTTGAAATCTAAAACCAAACTAAAATTCGTTCGAAACAAAGCACTAGATTCTCTGCTCCGCTTGTGATACAATCGCGTTGAATGTCGCGAAAGGACTGATAATATCCCTTTTGATAGCATCGCTATCGAATACCTTAAGCTACTCTGGTAGCTTGCCTCATTGCCAGCCTGTGCCGTGCCGTTCATGCGATGAATGTTGGGGGGTGTGTTTTCGTGTGTGTGTGTCTGCGTCATGCGAGCAATTTTCCATGTTTTGTACCGTTGACGAAGCGCTAGCACAAGGAGCACTACATTAGGAAGCTCCTGTTCACTCCATTCATTCGTTCGCAGGACTCTCAACAGATGACTCTCACATCGGCCACAACAACACCTGCACAATGTTTGCACACAAAATATTCGTTGCGCTATCAAGATCAATGGCCCAAGTGGTTGGCTTCTCATAAGAATATGGAGGTGGCATAGTTTTTGAATGACGAAAAATTGCATAAATTTGTTCACCACTGAAACTTCATCTCTTTTTTTTTTCAAGATCTTATTATTCAACATAAACTCAAGCATTCATTTGATTCGTTTCTTTCTGTTACGGAATATTTTTCCTGCAATGAAAATAAAACCTACTTGATTTCAACTCTGTCCAGAGTTTGGAAAAAAAACCCCTCAAAGATAGTTCGCTTTATTCAATATTTCAATATTTTGCTCATAACAAAATAAAAATGAATCGTTGCATAGTAAATTGCTCATATTTTAGTTCAGAGTATTAACGCTAATTTTCGGAAGCATTCATAGTTAATTTCAAATTGAATAGTTTGCAATGTTTTGTTATTCTGTATATTAATTTCATTGTTTATCATAAATTGTGTCACATATGTCGTCAATGTGATGGCGGTACCGGAATCGAAGAGGAAAAACGTGTTGTTTTTAAATTATGTATTCATTATTCATTATTCATTTTTTTTGCGGTTTTTTAAATTGGGAATGCGATTGCTTGGAATAAATATGTCTAGTTTAATTGCGATAAAAATAACTGGCTCATCGCAGTTGATGACGTCTATTCATGTTGATTGTAATCGGTTGGAATGAGAATTATCGTCGCATGCTGTTTTGCATCTACTGTTTTCCTTCTTTTTCGCTTCATTTTCTCACTCTCTTCGTTTTAATGGTGCTTAAAGTTCGCCTTGGGCGCCACCTTTTTTGATCACTTTTAGCTTTTCTGCTGCGGGACGTTTGGTGTCTTCGGCGACATTTTCATGGATTGGGGCCGGTTTCCTCGTTGGAGCTTCAGTTGCTGATTTCGGTGTCGTCGTTGTTGGCTTTGGTGCTGATTTCGTTGTTGGTTTAGGTGTTGTTGTCGTGGCTGGTTTTGGAGTGGTGGTTGTAGTGGTCGTTGTTTGTTTGGTTTTTGGTGTGGTCGTGGTTGTGGTTGGTTTTGGAGTTGTCGTTGTTGTGACTGGTTTCTTCGTTGTGGCCTCAACCTTTGGTGCTACTTTTGGTGTTGCCTTTGCGCTTTTGTACGTTTTTGGCAATTTCACGCGTCCCAAATACTTGTGGGCAAATGAACCCAAGTACAAATAATCACCATCTTCAAGAACATGCGCCACACCGTGCACAGACTTATCAAAACCATGCAATGATCCGATAATCTTTCCGTTCCAGTCGAGGCGCAAGATTGTTTGACGTGCTGGCGCCAAACCGACCAACGATTCAAAGTGTCCGATTTTGTGGATAAACGTTTGTGTGTAGAAGTTTGGATAAATATTTTCAACCACTTTAAATGGTAGCTCAATTAAAGCGAGAGCACGAGCCAAGAATTTACGAACAAGCGGTGCATTTGCGGCTGATTGCCAGAGTGCTGGATTTTCGCTATCGACCGATTGAACCAATGGCACCCACAAACCGTCAGCATCTGGTGTTAAATTATCTGGTATGCCCGGCAAACTATCAATGAACACATCAGTTTGGCCAGCCTTGGCACCGGTCAAATAGTAGCGTGTAAGACGAGAGGCACCAGTCTCCGAAACAACAATGAAATCTTCATTCGGCGGCAATGCAATACCATTGGCAAAGTACAATTCATCGAGGAGGAATTTGTTTTGCTTTGTAACACGATTATATCGGAACAAACGTCCGGATGGATTGGCCAAAAGTGTGTAGACACCGTCTTCAAGTTTGAAATCGGAGGCTGAATCGGTCCAGAAAATGTCGCCGGATTTCGAAACGGCAACCGAATTGAAAATACTAGCCGGTCGACGAACCTATTTATTTAAGCCGATAAAAAATGCGATTATTTATTTGATGATTTTCGGCTAGGGGAATATCACGCTCCTGAATCTTGTGAGATATTTGAGATATTTGGAATAAACATTAGTTGTATGACATATTTTCGATTATTTCGAATAAATAAATCAGATTTTTGTGGATTTTGGAGATATTTGAGATTTTTTGCATTAAATCCGAATAAATACATTTAAATATCATTCATTATCACAAAAATCCACAATACTCCGCCGTATTCACATATATCCACCATATTTCATACGACAGATTCTTAGAGATAAATTGGATTTTTTTGAAATATTTGAAATAATTTAAGCGTGATATTCCCCTAGATTTTCGGTTGAACTCAAGTAGGTATTTTGATCACTCCAAATGTTTATTTACCTTTCCGTCCAATTCCTCGGTCGGCGAGACCAATTGTGTTTTCTTTCCATTGCTCAAATTAACCGACCAAATACCATAATAAGCATCGGCAACAATCAAATTATCTCCTTGCGTATCGAATGCCAAACCCAATGGTCGTCCACAAATTTTCTCCTCAGTCAATCCCTCTGAATTTATTTCGAAGTCGAAACAAAACGAAAAATAAACAATAAAAAATAAATATTGACACGAAATTGATATTGCTTATGAAAATGCAATATGGTTTGGATTGTAATCGAAAAAATCGATGTCGACGACGACTTGATTACGAAATAAAATACTTACCGCATGGTTTTCCAAACTTAGCCACATGTGTAATATGATCGTCCGTGATTTTGATCACTTCACCGCCATGAATTGATGTAAAGATTTCGTTGCCACGCTTCAATAACGTTTCTGGCCCATGCACTTGACCTTCAAACAAACGTTCGGCATTATCTAACAAATTATTTACTTCTAACGGACCCGTTAAGTCTAGCGGTTTTGGGATTCTGTGGAATACAAATATTACCAATCAAATCATTAGTTAATGGGTATAATTTATCAAATATGAGTGAAATGACAAAATTTAGGGAAAACATGGAGACGAATCGAAGAGAAGCAATCTCTCGTTATTATCGATGGTACGTAAAGGAGTCGAAACAGCTGAGTAAACGAAAAACAAAAATTGGATTTCGTAAGATTTTGAAAATTATTTATAGACTCTATTATCATATCACTGATATTTCGGTGCTAGATGTCGTTTTTTTTTTCATATTACCAATGAATGCCACTCAAGCCGGGAAAAAAGTGTATGTGATTGTATTTATTCTTAATAGCCAATTGACAAAGCCCAAACGAACGTCTCATTAGAGTCGCTATTTATTAATTTGTAAAATAAACAATAGCAGTCTGACAGCTGTAGTAAACATTTGGCAAGAATACTTTTGATATTAGCGATATTCGTTGCGACATTCACAGCAATGAAAGCATCAAAAGTGTAGAGAGAAAAAAACAATGAGCCGGCTATTGAACATACATCAAACTCAATAAGGTATTGGGCAATTTTGTGCGACTTCATTGCCTTGACACATGTATCACCAGTTTATGTTAATGTTTTTCTTTTCGCTCATCATATCCAGTTTTTTCAGTTTATCGATCAACTGCTTTTTTTGTCTTTTTCCCCATTGAAACACTGATAATTGTAAAATGACAGCCTGAGAAGAAAAATCTTTCCTACAAAACCTGTGCGCAGAACACAAACACAGAAATTTTTTAGTTAAAAGGCAAACGGCAAATTTGCGAGCGCAAAAACCTAATATATTTACAGCGAGCGCAAAAGCATAACAGGCCTACTTATACGGAGTTTGCATGCCAGTAGGCTTGTTATACTTTTGCGCTCGCTTCAAATATATTAGGTTTTTGCGCTCGCAAATTTGCTGTTCGCCTTTTGACAAAAAAATTTCTGTGTTTGTGTTCTGTGCACAGGTTTTGTAGGAAAGGTTCTTCTTCTGAGGCCATCAAATGATTCTATGGGCGCATTCATTTTTCTCCCCAGCACAACAAAATTGAAACGTGTTACTGTCCGATGTGGCGATGTGACTTTCTTTCATTTATCGATGTAAATGAGCTCATCCAACGTCAACGGTAGAATACAATACACACACCACAAGAGCAACAACAACAACAACTTCTTGATTTCAGGAGAAAGACACATCGGCCGAATGGAATGCAACAAAAATAAAACAATAACACATCTTACAAATATTTTTTTTCGCAACCACTTTGTGATTGCTCCAAAATTGTCATAAATACTTACATAAATGATTGAAAATCAAAGTGCGTCTTAGGCGGTAAACCAGGTAACAAAACAACGATGAAAAAAACAATTAGAAAATTTCTAACTAATCGATAAAAACATTTGCACAGCCCCATTATTCCTTCGGTTTTATTTCTTTTTTACTTGATGGTTTTTTTCTTCTTCTCGTATTCGTGCTTCAATCGCTTATCATCAAACACTAAATTTAAAAATTAAAGAAAGTCAAATCGAAAGTTCTTCTCGGCAAAAAAATGAGTCGATACTCGTACGTATATGAATGTATGTATAACAAAAAAACAGATTCCAATGGGAAATTTTCGGTGTTGAAAACGCAAATAACATTGAAACGACGGAATACCACTGTACGATGATGACGGCTGCTTGTCCGATACGTGTGTGTTAGGTTTATGTTGCGGCTACGAGTAAAAACATTTATAATACATTTAAACGAATGAGAGCGAGAGAACTCAAACCATTCGCTCTCTTTGCATCTTCTTTCTTTTTCATTTTCTCCATTACCTTTTGATCTTCGATATATAAAGAGTGAACGTATTAATGCGTACGCACGACTAAACTACACATTCAAAAGTCAATTTCAAATAGTGTGGCGATTTTTCCAGCAAGAAACGGTTTGCAATGTGTGCAAGACTTAATTGCATTTGTATTGGTAATGGATTTATTTATTTCGCTTCTCTTTTGCATTTCAAAAGTGATTTCCGAATTGCTTTTTATAGATTTGAATTTGAAATTAATTCTGAATATCATTTCCGGTGAATAATCTTGAGATCATGATCCATTTTTTTCGTATTAATTGCAAACATGACGAGCGTGCAGATGTGAACACAGTATACACTGTGTGTTTTTGTGAACCAACCATCATGTCTTCCCGACCGAACTGTCATAATACATGCACATACGAAAACAGTGGTCTGTGACGTCATTTTTTTTGGTTACAAAACAACATCCATTAAAAACTATCGAGTATATACGCAAATACGAAAGGGGAAAACATACATCATTAAGTCAACAATTGTGAGAAGAGAAAAAAAGAAATTATTCAATTATCTACACAGAGAAATGGCCACGCTATTTACTTGACAAATCAAACAAATTACTCGCGAACTGGAACCATTTATTGATTCGGAGGATTTGTTTTGTGTGTGAATTGTAATTGATATTTAGCAATTTTACATTGAAATGTCGTACAACAATTACACAGGTGACATTGTTCACTTGAATGTCGGTGGGAAAAAGTAAGTGTCGACGGGTGATAATTGGTTTGAGTGAATTTTCCAAAATGAAAATCCGTATATCAATTTATGGATGGCTAGAATGAATGGTTTTGATTTTAAATTAAAATGTCATTTGGTGTAGGTTTTCAACATCACGACAAACGCTTACTTGTATACCAGACACATTTTTCACGGCACTGCTCAGTGGCCGTATATCTAGCCTGCGAGATGATAGTGGAGCCATTTTCATTGATCGTGATCCAACGTTGTTTGGAATAATTCTGAATTACTTACGCACACGCGACATTGATATCAAACAATGTGATTTGAGGATACTACGGCACGAAGCTGAATACTACAACATTTCGCCATTGGTGCGACGATTAATTCTGTGTGAAGATTTAAATCATTCATCGTGCGGTGATGTGTGGTTCTATGCACATTTGACACCACCAGGTTTGTTTCCGGGAATTGATATTTAGTGTCCCTTTTTTGAAGTTTAATTCATTTATTGAGTGGCAGAAGTTTTTGTTTTGCTTCAAAATTGTGTTAACTCTTTCTTTGTGATGTGCAGTGGTACCAGGACATGAGCTGGGCGAAACATCAACGGCAGCTGTCGCTTCAGCAACGCAAACTTCCATCACAACGAGCACTACAGCTCCTGTACCACCGCCTACAACAGTCGAAACAAATGTGTCGCAACCAGCAGCTCCAGTCGGTTCGGTCAATCAAGACATCACAGCACCAACGTCAGTGACACCAGTTCCACTGGCTGCTGGAAGTTTAATCAATGCTCGGCCAGGCTCAATGGTTCGCGTTCCGGAAATGGCCAATGGACGTAAGTCAAACATCATGCAATTTCATTTTCTTTACGAAATTCGATTGAAAAGTCGTCGTCTTCATTAACTCTACTGAAATGTAATTTCCACCAAATAGGAAGCATTGTTTATCCACACTATCGCCAAAGAGATGACTTTGATGGATCACGTGACGAATTTAACCAACGCGAAGAGTACAATTTACAAAGAGACAATTCATTTAGTAGTATCAATCAAGCGTCATCATCGCGTCATTCGGGCCATTCGCGAAATTCATCGTGGGAACTTCGATCAACGTACAATGGAACGGCACCATCTCGGAATGCCCAAGGCTGGAATGCTTCGGCACATTCTCGAACAGCGTCATTGGATCTACGACATTCGCGAAATTCATCCGCTGATCTCAACAAAATCATTCGCAATGACGTCGGCCTAGTGTTCAATCCACATCAGCAATCGGCCGGTTTCTACGATCCACTTCGAGTGCAAATAATTAAAGCGCATCACAATTGGATTTCGGCCGCATATCCACATTTTGTCACATGCTATCGGTTGAAGGACTCTTCGGGATGGCAGCTAGTATTCACATCGCCCTACATCGAAGCAACTATCGAACGATTGGCCATCAAAGTGAACTTTTCCAATGCAAATGAGAAAACACAAAGCAAAATGGTGGCAATTTCGTATGGCAGTATGATTCGATTGTGGCGAGTGTCTGACGATGGAAATAAAAGTGACGTGGGCATTTTTAATTTGAATGTTCGTGTCGAGTATTTATTTTTCATTGGAAATCAATTGGTGGCCTTGTCATCAATTGGGAAAATTGGTGTTTGGCATGCAATGACACAACACTGGCAAATCCAAGACCTCTGCCCAATTTTATCGTTCGATACAGCCGGCTCATTTCTGCTGCTCGGCTGTAACAATGGCAGCATTTACTATATCGGTATTTATTTTTGATCTTTTTTTCGTATTTGACAAACAAAAATGACCAACCAAAAAAATTGTCTTTCTCTCTCAACGACAGATATGCAGAAGTTTCCGCTACGAATGAAAGATAACGACTTACTAGTTACCGAATTATATAAAGATCCAACACTAGATCACATTACGGCAATATCCGTGTATTTAACGCCCAAAACCACAAGTAAGTATTAATCATTTTGCATGATGACAATTCGTTTTTCTAGATAAGTCTATAGAATAATTAGAGAACCCCATTTTCAAAGAATTAACAATGATAAACGAACAAAAATATATATATGTATCAACAAAACTAGAAATTAGAAAAACAAACAGAAAACAAAAACAAACAATCTACTAATCACTTGTTATCATGCCAGCACCGGACAAAACAAAAGAAGGTAAAAATTCCCATAACAAACCAACGAAACAAACATGAGATTTCAATTCATTTCGATTTTTACAACAAAAAAAAACACAAACACACAACAGACACACGCAAAATACAAAATGTTCAAAAATCCTCCCGACCAAAAAACACACACACAATATTCGAATGAGTTTCATTTTTATCGAATTTTTCATTTTTTGGATCAAATCCTTTTGTTTTTGTTCTTTTAATTATGTGAACGTGATCGAAACTTCGCTATCGAAATTCCAACAGAAATCAAAATTAGATGACATTAGAAGTTCAAGCACGTTAAAAACACAACATTTGATTATATACATATGATTGGTGCTGGCATAATTTTTTTGTACATGTTTTTTTGACAGAAAAAAGTCCTGCCTTGATTTATTATTGTTATGTTAGCTCCATACTTTACACATACACACACACACACACACACACACACAAACACACACATCCCAACCAACTCACATAATTTGCAAGAAAAGTTACACACCTTTTAGTTAGTTGTCAATTAGAGTATTGGTTTTGAATTCATTTAATTAAGTCTTTCTGTTGATGTTGTTGTTGAGGAGAATGAAAATCATTTGTAATTTGCTTGACAATTAAATTCAAGGTTTATGCGGCAATTGGATTGAAATTGCGTATGGCACACGGTCGGGTAGTGTACGAGTCATCGTTCAACATCCAGAAACAGTTGGCCACAGTCCGCAGCTATTCCAAACATTCACTGTGCATCAAAGTCCCGTTACCAAAGTCAAACTCTCCGAAGAGTTTTTGATTTCAGTGTGCAGCGAATACAATCATGTGAGAACTTGGCGTGTACCGCGCTTCAGAGGCATGATTTCAACACAGCCCGGATCAACGCCAGAGGCATCGTTCAAAGTGAGTTTGCTTGGTTTAACATTGAAAATTGTCGTTTTTTTTTGCATTTTTTGCTAATATTTGCCCTTTTCCATTCACTTTATTCGTTCAGATTGTTTCGTTGGAATCAACAGACAGCGCTTACAGTTACTCGGCAGGAAATGACTTTGGTCCATTCGGCGAACAAGATGATGAACAGGTGTTTGTGCAAAAAGTCATTCCTGAAACCGATCAGCTGTACGTACGATTGGCATCGAATGGCGATCGCGTCTGTGTTATCAAATCAATTGATGGTTCAACCATCACCTCGTTCTGTGTGCACGAATGCGAGAAATCATCTCGAATGGGATCGATGCCAAGGCGTTTTATATTGTCCGGTCACAGCAATGGAGCCATTCAAATGTGGGATCTCACCACTGCTCTGGAATTTATTCAGAAAAAGGATTCGTCGGGTAAATGGAACGAATTAATTGAAAAATGAAATGATTTTGTTGCTCAAGTTCCAATTTGAAACAGATTTTCTCTTGAAATTTATTGCAATTTAAAACTCTAAACAAAAATCCATTTCTTTACACAGCTCAATCAGTTGGAGGTGGACCAACGCCCGAGGAGCTCATTCAATTGTTGGATCAATGTGACATAAGTAACAGCCTTTGCTCAACGCCATGCATGTCACCGTGCCTCTCATCCATGTCATCCAACACAATAACACGATTGAAACAATCAAATATAGCATTTTTGAATCAAGTTCACAACAATGAATAATTCAATTTGATTTGGTTCAACCTATGCTTGGAACAGGAATTATCCACGTTTTATTCTTCTCTGAATTCGATTAGATAAACAAACAAGAGGTATACTGGATTTTTAAGGGAATTTCTGACAAAAAAAAATGTCTCTTGTCACGTGTTGATATGTTCAGAGTTTTTTCCCTTTCAAATGGCACCAAAATTTCGGATGAAATCGATACGATTTTATGAAAATGAATCTTATTTTTCTATGTTTTTTAAAGGACCAGACTGAAAATATTTAGATTAAATTGTAGCATTTTCAGCATTTTCTGTTTAGTTAGAACATTCAAATAGAATTTACATTTGTATTTAACGAGAGAGAAAAAAATGATAACCAATTCACCGCACACCGAACAATATTTTTATTTTGTGTTTTACTAGCATTTCAACTTTTTTTCGTTACACTTATTTTATACTTATTGTGATATATCAAAAGAGAAACAAATTATAAAAAAAAATTCAGCAAAAAAACAAAACAAATATTTTATTCTTGGCAACAGAACCCATGAGATTGCATTTTTATTAGTTGAATCAGATGATTTATATAACATCCCAAAGAGAAGAAAATAAAATATCATTTTTTATTTTATTTCAAATGTGGCATTTTTATTTGAATGGGCAACATTTTTTCTGTAATACATGATTGCCATTTAAAAATGTATATTTAAAGATTAAATGTCTTCTTCGATTGTATGGTTGCGAGCGATTCTTGTGTCCCCCCTTCCAGCAGCGCTGCTCAACAATTTTTTTGTGACGGATTCGGTACAAAATCTTTTACTGTTGGGTATAAAAGATGAAAGATCTCAAGCTCGATCTCATTTGTTGGCGTAGAGTCGACCGAAATAGC